TTCGTTCTCTGTTTGTGTTCAAGTTCAACACTCGCGTTGACGGTTATCTTTTGAACGTGTCCGTTCTGTTTATCGCGTCGACACGTAACGTCGCCGATAACGTTAATATTATCAATGATTTCGTCTCGAATTACAAATATGAAGTTGTACGCGTTAAAATATTTTTAATCGTCGACTCACGCGCGTATGGAGTCACGTTACCTGTTACACGTCAACCGATTGCAACGATACACAGTGTTGGGCAAACATTTATTTATGAACTTGTGGAATGCGTATCGTACTCTTCGTAAACACCGGTTTTTGTATGTCTTTATAATGGAGTTAATAGAAAATAACATGTAAAAATAATGAATGTGAAATAATATCATTTAAAGTGGTATAACGTGATATAATATAATATTAATAATAATGAGGATAATAATGATAATATAAAATTGTTTTGTATATTAAAAACATGATAAAATGGAACTGAACACTTTTATTATCAAAATGCATACAACATAAAAATATATAGTATGTACAACAACATAAAATAACATATAAAAATAACTAATGTGGAATAATATCATATAAGTGATATGACATGGTATAATATAATATTAACAATAATGATAATAATAATGTTAATAAAACCTAAAATCTTGAAACTCTAAAATGAATTTTTCTTTAGAAATTGAAGGAAATGCTGACTTTTGCACAGATATTAGGTGAATTTAAAATTTGATGAAAAATTTTGTTCAATTATAAATACGTGTGGCTTTAAAAATGGTTCACCATTTATTAGTGAGTTGTTTATTAGTCATCCATTTTTAAGAAATTCCTTTGATTTTAGAAAGTTAAAATTTTATATTAAATCTAAGAAAGACGAATTAAAAAGAAATTATTGAAATAGCGACTATAAAATAACGAAATTCCATTTTTTATCTAATAAGAGGACTGTTTCATTTTTTACTTAAAAGTTTTCATTAATATTTAAAATAATACTCATTCAATTAATATTACAAATATTTCAATTATTTTAATAAATACTTTGAATAATATTAAAATATCGACTATAAAATAGTGAAATTTCACTTATTCTTAACAATTTTTATTAGTATTTTAAGTAACATAAAAATAACAACTATAAAACCGTGAAATACAATTTTTTATTCAAAAGAAGCCCCGTTTCATGTTTTTTTTTTTAACAGTTTTCATTAATATTTCAAATAATACTCAATCAATTGATATTGCAAGTATTTCAATTATTTTAATAAATATTTTGAATAACATTAAAATATCCACTATAAAATAGTTATCAATGGCTATCAATTAATATTGCAAATATTTCAATTATTACAATAAATATCTTGAATGATATTAAAATATCGACTATAAAATAGTGAAATTCCACTTACACCTAACAATTTTTATTAATATTTGAAGTAACATTAAATTAACAACTATAAAACCGTGAAATAGAATTGTTTATTCAAAAGAAGCCCCGTTTCATTTTCAATCTGAGAAAGTACAATTTCCACATAATTGCTCTAAATATTTCAAATAATGTCATCGGATCGATTAATATTTTATACAATGTAACTTGAAATATGTCCAGGCCTGTCTTTTCACTTGTTCTCCATAAATCACTGAATGGTCACTCGAGCATTATTCCGGTGATTCCGAAGGTAGAAATTTGGTGTGACTGGGCAGCGTGTCCTTTAACGATTCTGTCTAATAACTGGTCCCTTTCAAGCTTCGTTAAGCGGCACAAACAGGTCCGACTCGTCGGAGGGTATTAGAGGCAATTTCGTCGGAACCTGTGACACTATATGTATATCCTCCTCCCTGTAACAAACGGTATATCGAACCCATTCAGGAGGTGGCAAGTGAAGATTAGCGGCTCAAAGCGGCTCCGATTCAGCCAGTGAATGAAAGTCCGGCACGGCTGCTGGGTATCTTAATAATCCTCTTTGTTGTTCTCCGTCCTGTAAGCTTCCCACAAAAATTTTTGTTCGGAATCTGCGATTTCCGAACGCTTCCAAAATCCAGTCCCGTAAGATAGGAGAGAATTTGTCCATCGCCGATTCAGAGAGAAAATATATTTATTTGATATTCGCTAATTATTCGAAAATATATTTATTTTATATTGCAGAGCCCTTTATATTATTGAAAGTTCTTTTAATAAAAAGCTTTTTTTATTGCAAAAGCTCCTTACATTATGTCAAGGTTTCTAAATAAAGAGCTTTTTATATTGCAGAACCCTTTATATTATTGATAACTCTTTTAATAAAAAGCTTTTTATATTTCAAAATCTCTTTACAGTTTTAAAAGCTTTTTCAATAAAAAGCTTTTTATATTTCAAAATCTCTTTACAGTTTTATAAAGCTTTTTCAATAAAAAGCTTTTTATATTTCAAAATCTCTTTACAGTTTTAAAAGCTTTTTCAATAAAAAGCTTTTTATATTTCAAAATCTCTTTACAGTTTTAAAAGCTTTTTCAATAAAAAGATTTTTGTATTAAACAGATTGTTATATTACGAAAGCTTTTTATATTAAAAAACACTTTAGTTTATTGAAAGGTTCCTTCATAAAAAGCTTTTTATGTTATAAAAACTCTTTATAAAATTAAAAGCTTTCTTATCTGATGTAATGACACAACAGGACAAGTGTGCATACAAGCAAAATTTATTTTCACGATTCGGCGATAATTTCCACCTTTCTGTGCAACGGTATTAATCATAGCACCTCGCCTCGATGACTGTCGTTTAATCTATCGTATGATGATCGTAAACACCTTTTACTGAAGCGAGGTTCGCATTCAGGTGTTAACACATTCGCAACCAATGACGTAATTTCACGTTATTATCAAATCTGTACCCTATTACCACATACATAGTCACGCCATTTTCTATTTATAGAAAAGTAGACAACTTTGCGATTAGATACATCGAATCTGAAAACTCGACTAGGTAATTTTGTAATTAATTTTTTTCCTTGGGAAGGAAAGGAAAGTGAAATTTTCACAAAAAATAAAATATAACACGTTTAAAAATAACAAAGTGATCTATATTAAGGGGTTAGATTCACGTAACGAGCGCGAACCTCTAAATATGTACCAGACATGGATTTTGAGAACATGACAAACAAAATAATTAATGCCTGCGCTGGTGTTAATCCTGGGATATTTAAAAGGATAATAAAATAATTTTTGAAAAAAGATGTAACTGACATCGAAAAATATTAAAATTGCGCTAAAAATTATGAAATAATGTCTAGTTAATTTATGCGAATACTTAACAACTCTAGATATAATTGCTTAAAAGTATGAAATAATTTCTGCTTCCTTTATTATTCAATTATATTAAATAACCTTTTCGAAGACGACGCAAAATTACAAATTTTTAATTCTTAAACAAATTATTATAGTCTGAAAATGCGTAGTGTGATACAACAGAATTATTTTCAATACCTTTGTAACAATATCATTGTTAAATGCGAATATTAGATAAATATGTGCTTTATGTACGGAAAAAAATATTCTGTTCTACGTTGAAACGGTGCTTCCTTTGAATAAAAAATTGTATTTCACGGTTTTATAGTTGTTCTTTTAATGTTACTTAAAATACTAACAAAAATTGCTAAGAATAAGTGGAGTTTCACGATCTTATAGTTGATATTTTAATATTATTCAAAGTATTTATTAAAATAATTGAAATATTTGCAATATCAATTGAATGAGAATTATTTGAAATATCAATTAAAACTGTTAAAAAGAAAATGAAACAGTCCTTCCTTTAATGTTATTTAAAATATTAATAAAAATTGTTAAGAATAACTGAAATTTCGCTATTTTATAGTTGATATTTGAATATTATTCAAAATATTTAGTAAAACAATTGAAATATTTGCAATATTAATTGAATGAGTATTATTTGAAACATTAATGAAAACTGTTAAGAAAAATTGTTTTAATGTTATTTTAATGTTACTTAAAATATTGATAAAAATTGTTAAGAATAAGTGGAATTCCACTATTTTATGGTTGATATTTTAATATTATTCAAAATGTTAATTAAAATAATTGAAATATATGCAATTATTAATTAAACGAGTATTATTTGGAATAGATATTTGTTTTATATTTAAAAAAAAACGTTTTAAAAGCTTTTGCAATATAAAAAGCTTTTTATTAAAAGACCTTTCAATAGTATAAAGGGTTCTGCAATTTAAAAAGCTCCCTATTTAGGAAGCTTAACATAATGTAAGGAGCTTTTGCAATATAAACAGTTTTTTATTAAATGAGCTTTCAATAATATAAATAGTTCCCCAATAAAAAAAGATCTTTATTTAAAATCCTTGACATAATATAAAAAGCTTTTGCAATCTAAAAAGCTTTATATTGAAAGAGTTTTCAATAATTATATAGTTCTCCAATATAAAAAGCTCTTTATTTAAAAACCTTTACACAATATAACAAGCTCTTGCAATATAAAAAAGTTTTTATTAACTCTCCTCTCCTACTTGCCACCTAAAAAACGCATTTATCACGTAAAAATAGGAATATTACTCTCTTAAAAAAAAAACGTCGTTTTTATAACCAAAATTTATTCTTATTTATAATCTATGTGTGATTTCAGTCTTCACTGTTGCAAAAACGTAATAATGGAACTAATATGTCGATCGCTTTTGACTCGACTGTAGGAGATGAGGGTTAAGAAAGCATTGAATAGTATAAAGAGCTTTTGTAATTCCGAAAGCTTTTTATTAAGGATTCTTGAAACAATACCGTGTCTTTGTAATCTAAAAAGCTTTTTATGTAACAGCTTTAATCCATGTAATCCATAGTGCTTCTATAATATAAAAAAGTTTTTCATTAAAATCTTGAAAGCTTTATAAAAAGCTTTTCATCGAAAATATTTCATCAAAGAACTCTCTTTCCTAAAAATATTGTTTAACCTTGCTGAGTGCTCCTTAAATCAAAACGAGTGTAGAAGTAAAGTTAAACAAAATGAACCCGGTATCGAAAACCTTTGAGGTTAAGACAAAGAAAAGTGAAAGTACCGTATCGAAAGTTACTTCATCCCGCGTAATCTACAACGCGAAATAAATAGAAGTAGAACAAAATTACAATAATAATGGCTCGATGAATTTGCACGTGAAATACGAGAAAACGAAGATTTTATTTAATGTTTTCTTCGTTGGAGAAGATAGAACGAAAGTGGTACCAAACGACCTTCTCAACGCAACGAAAAGAATCGGAATCAAGTTGCGCGAATGTAAAGGCAAATAAATTACACGGGCACGGTAAAGTTGTATCTAGATTTTTTCCGAAATTTTATCTCGCGGAATCCCTACGCGGAAACCAAAGTTATGTTCTGCGCACTCCACCGCGGTAATGGGAATATATCTCTGGTCGTAAGATTAAAGTGCGCATAAATGTTGAGTACGGACAGAAAGATGAGCGTATCCGCGTTACACGTGAACAGTGGCGGCCATGTAGAGGCGACATAGGCGGCGCTTAGGGGCTTACGCAATTGTATTATAATTTTTTTTTTTTTGTTTAAAGGAGTATTTTAATCTACAGCGTCAATTTTTAGTTCTTTCTGAGGATTTTTTTTTTTAATCTATAAGGAATGTTTATAAAGAGTTTTGCACCCAGATATATTTATTTACATTTTAAGAACATATATGATATTTTTGCAGATAAAAGTAATCAAAATTGAACGTACAAATGATATTGTACAGTCCCTCCCGAAAAAAATATTAGATCTACCGGAAAGTTCTGTCCGTTTTTAAAATAGAACAAAATAATAAATTTCTCATACCTTGAATAAATTTTATTAAATAATACAATTTTTATCATTATTTATGACATGTTGACAGGGTGATTGCAATTTGTATATTATTTTTAACGAATACGCGCATGCTTGTTGAAACTTGCCGTAACCGGAACGGACAGAACTTTCCGGTAGACCTAACATGTTCGTGATTGACATGATTTCGGCTGTTCTGTTTATCTGAAATGAAAGAAATCAAGAAACATCTTCATTAATATTAGCTTTGCTATGGTCCGAACTAGAATAATTATGAATTATTGAAAATTCATAAAATGGCAGCACTTTAAAGTTTGAATATCGGTTTCTTCTATCTTTTTTTTTGTTCTTAGTGTATTACAAAAGAATATTTAGAATAATCAGATTTTGAAAACCGTGGTTCTGGCGATAAAGGCACTTGTGCTGCAGATTCACTCCAAATTTAAAGTCATTCGGTCAACTAGAACTTGAAATATAATTGCAACTATTTCGATAAATATGGTTACGAGGAAATCGCGTTGAAAGTTTCTCGTACCAAATACGTATACAGGGTGTTCTAAGATTGATGGAGCTCCTTGAAAGGGGTGGTTCGGGGGGTGATTTGAAACAACTTTTTCCTTAGCGGAAATGTTGTCTGAGACTTCGTTGAGGAGATATTAACAAAAGAACACCGACCAATCAGAGCGCGACGATGCCGATGGACCGCCCGCGGTAGCGTATGAGCGCAGCCGCCTAGCGCATAGCCACGTCTACCGCGGCTGCTCCACCGACATCTTCGCGCTCTGATTGGTCGGTGTTCTTTTGTTAATATCTCCTCAACGAAGTCTCGGACAACATTTTCGCTAAGGAAAAACTTGTTTCAAATCACCCCCCGAACCACCTTTTTCTAGGACCTTCAACATTTTTGGGACATACTGTATTGTACAAAGAAATTGTATATGTTATACAATGCACATTTTATATGACACTAATGACGATAAAATATTACAAGAAAATAATTGAATGTCGAGTCCATTGAATTGAAAAAAGCGTTAACTAACATTTTTGGGACACCCTGTACACTATTTCCAGCCCATATTTCTTAGCCTATCCTTAATCTATCCTCATACTATCCTTATCCTATCCTTAAACTATCCTTATCTTAATATTAAACTTAGCCGTCGGCCGTACATACCAAAAACGTATAATTACGATTGAGATTCAAACCCAATCCTCGCTTACTTGCTTCTTGAATAATGATTGTCATTTTAGCATATTTTACACGATATTTATATTGCCATCGAACAAAACTTAGTAAAAACTGCAAAGAAATTTAAAATTCAGTATTCAAATAAACCCGGAGTTAATAACGACGTTGGGGGCACCGTTCTCTTTATACGTCCTTGACTTCGCTAATTTTCCGAATTCAACAAAATTCTTTCGCAGATATACATTGTATTACTGTGGTGTGTGCGTGCGTGCGTGCGTGCGTGCGTGCGTGCGTGCGTGCGTGCGTG